ATATTACATAGGTGGTAATATATATAGATACATTTAATTATAATGACATTTAATCTCTAACTAAAAATTTCTTCAAAAACTCAAAACAATTCATCTGGAATAGTATGGTCCTTTCTTCTTTTGTGTGTATGGTAAGACTGACATATCTAAGTGTTTTATCTATGGCTTGACAACCTAACTTTGCTAACAAATCCTGACTTCTTCTTGGAATTGTAGCATCATTACTGCCTACAACGTAATGTTTCAAGTAGGCTTATTGGTTGCATTGTCTCCCCAACTCTCTGCAGTTAGATAACCCCAGTCTCAATCACAGAAGGCTTGGTAAAGGGAACCTATTGATCAGCTGTAGGGGCTGGAGTAGGGAACGATCTCCGCCTTATAATCCAAATCTATAAAATGTAGGCAATGGTTTTGATCCCTCTTAGTTCCAAAATTTGATGAACACAGACCCAAACCCACCTACTGATTTACATTCACACTTCATGCGAATTCACCACCTCTGCTTCTCCTACTAGGAGTCTCTTGAATCTTAGGTACTCAAATCTACCAAACTTTTAAGGTTTCTGTCCACTTTGGAAAACCTGCATTTGGGGCTAGAAACATAGCTCAGTTGTTAAGAGCGCATACTGCTCTTCCAGGGGACCAGGAGTTCAATCCCCAGCAACCTTGCCTAGTGGCTCACAGCCACCTGAAACTCCACGTCCTGGGGATTCACCACTTCTGGTTTCCACAGGCACCTGCGCTCGTGCACATACCCACACAGACACACAGCTATACATAAAGTTGAAAATAAGAATAAACTAAGCCAGGCATGGTGGTGCATGTGTTTAGTCCCAGCTCTTGAGAGGCAGAGGCATGCGGATCTCTGTGAGTTTGAGGCCAGCCTGGTCTCCATAGCAAATCCAGGCTACCTGTGGCTACAGAGAGACCCTGCCTCAAGAAGACCGAAACAAAACAAAAATAAATAAACTGGGGGAAAAAAAAAGAAAACCTGCCTTTAAAATTACATCCTTCTAAATTCTCATTTTATATAATCTGCATTACTACTTCTATCTGTATTTTTTTCCTAGACCTTAGATAAGTTTCAGTTTTTAGAATTAAATTCATAACCTGAAGAAAAAAACTGTGATTTGATGTAAAGTGCTATAATTTTCCCCAGATGACTTGATCACATCCCAGTATCACTGTCAGGCAATGGGAGATGTAATCTTCAGACTTGTTCCTTGTACATATTTTACATACTGTCCATTCAAGGTCAGCACCATAATGCAGGAATTTTAAATGCGATTAACCACTGCATGGTTCTTTAGAAAACAAAAGGATAAAAGAAGCAAAGTATTCTCTGAGGTTCATTTTGTAGATAAAACGCAAATAATTTTGTTTTACCATACCTGACCCATCTTCACGAAAACCAAGTTGATATACCCCACTAAAAAAAGTCAGATAGACTTTTGAGTTAAACAGCATCAACATAATGCAACTTTTTAGAAAAAAAAAAAAAGGCAAATTTTCATTCCTGTGTCTTTCAGGCTATGCTTCCTCATTCAAAATAAAAAGGGACCATGTTTGCTTATTTGTCTTTTATAGCATAGTTTAGCTTTTACAGTCTCGCTTAGCAGGCACTGGACATACACTGCTGGATAAATGAATTACACTACACATTTTTTGCTACAATGTTCCTGTCATGAATGTCTTTTCATCAGCATTATATTTATTACCTGGCTACCACTGGTTATAATGACTTCTCATGCTTTCATTTATCCGTTCACAAATACTTAGGAACCAACTTCTGTGGGAAAGGCATTTTTCTAGGTGCTAAAGATATAGCTGTGAATAAAGTCTATGTTCCCATGAGGCTCAGGTTTAGAAGAGAAGGCACAAAATAACAAAACAAATTGACTACAGGCCATGAGAAATTCTCAGAAGACAGACACTGAAGGAAGACATACATCTGAGAAGGGACAGCCTCCTTCAGATGCCATGGTCAAGGGGACACCTTCTCCAAGATGAGCAGGGACTAGTGGGTAAAGGGCTGGGAATGTGTCAGGCAGATGAAAAGACACACGAACAGGGTTGTGTGGACTGGGAACTGCTGACCAGATGCTACAATTTCATATAAGCAAAAATGGCAGGAGCAGGGATGGGACAGTAGCCATGGGCACGGTGAAGTGTCTGGACTTCATTAAAATATGATCCCTTTTTTTTTTTTTTCTTTAAGCCTGGAGAATGTAATCTTTATTTTTATTTTGCGTGTGTGTTTTTTCCTGCATATATGTAAGTATACCCATGCATGCAATGCCACAGAGGCCAGAAGAGGGTGTTGGATATCCTGGAACTGGAGTTAGAGACAGTTGTTAGCCACCATGTGGGTGCTGTGATCTGAAACCAGGTCCCCACCAAGAACAGCCAGTGCTCTTAACCACTGAGCCATCTCTCCAACCCTAAATATAATTTTTTAATAGCCATAAGAGTTTTCTCTGTTCTTTGCTAACTTTATTCAAAATACTGCTTCAATGCTAATTTTTATATTCGCTGTTGGTTTTAAACAGGTAATTTTTTATTATGCTAAAGCAATAAGCCTTTCATTTAGCCTGATGATGACTTATCTTGAAAACAGTTAAGACTGTTACTGTTCAGCTTAGTCTGCCTCTGCGATTTCCCAGCTCATCCCTTACTTTGTCCCCAAAGCAGTTTTCCCCTCACAATTATGTAGCTGTACTTCAATAATGGCTTATAAATTCTGCTGCAGCTCAAATATTTTCAGGTCTAAGGGAGCTCTGCTAGAGAAAATGTTGCCTCTTGGGCTGGAAGATGACTCAGTGGGTAAAATGCCTGAGCTTGAATCCTCAAGATCCATGTAAAAGCTGGACATAGTAGTATGTGTCTGTAATTCCAGCACTCCTCGTACAGTAAGATGGGAAGCAGAGACAGGAGACTCCTCAGTTCACGGGCCAGTTAGCCTGGTGCATGTAGCAGAGACCAACCAAAGAAAGACCCCGTCACAAACAAGGGGAGGCAAGGACTATTACCTCAAGTTGTCCTGACCTCCATGCACACATACATACTCACTCACATGAAAAAAGAAAATACTGCTTCAAAGACAGGAGTATTCTAAAACCTCACTGCTTGGCTCCTAGGGAGTAGAGATTATGACATGCAGGTTTCATTGTCATAATATGGAAACAGCTCCTAACACATAAGGTTGTTGAAGAAAAATAAGTCTACCTAAAGTATATAATTAGTAATGGGGAACATTACCCATTTTTGTCCACTCAAATAGCAGCTGACTAAACATGAGGTAACTTGAATTCCTATGCTGACTTTATGAATCTATAGCACTGGTATACTGGTTAAGAATGTGCACTATGGAGTATACACAATCAGCCTAGATTTAGATCTTTCCACTGTCATTAGAGTTTGGATGCTGAGTGTCCCACAAAGATCCATGGTATTAAAAGCTTGGTCCTTAACGCATTACTACTGGCATGTGGTAGAACCTTTTAGGCAATGAGATGGTAGAAAGAAGTCAAGTCACTGAGGTGTGTCCTTGAAGGGGTTATTGGGACCCTGGCCCCTTCTTGTTTCTGGTTTCCTAGTCACCATGAGGTAAATAGCTGTTCTCTACCACATTCTCCCTGCTGTAATGTTTTATACTGCCAACAGACCCCCAAACAATGGGGCCAACCAAGCAGGGATTGAATCCATGAGCCCAAATAAACCTTACCTCTTTACACATTGATTTATCTCAGCTGTTATATATAGTGACAGAAACATGAGTAACACATTCCCTACTGACATGCTCTAGATAAGTTACTTAGTTCTCTGGGTAGCTGAGAGCTAAGTTTCTAAACTAAGGAACTGAGACTTAATTTCTAAATTAAAATGAGAAAAAAATGCCAGGTGTCGTGGTGCACACCTTTAATCCCAGCACTTGGGAGGCAGAGGCAGGTGGATCTCTGTGAATTCAAGGCCAGCCTGGTCTACATAGTGAGTTCTAGGACAGCTGGGGTTACAGGGAGACCCTGTCTCAAAAAGACAAAAAAAAAAAAAAAAAAAGAGAGAAAAAAATTACTTCACACAACTAAGGTAACATATGTAAAGTATCTAGCACCATGCCTGGCAGTGGTATGTGAGGAGGATGATGATGAAGATGACATTAACACAAGTAATAATCAATCAACTAAAAGAACTCAATATGAGATTACAGAGAAATTAAAATATAATTCTTGCTGGGCATGGTGGCGCATGCCTTTAATTCCAACGCTCAGGAGGCAGAGGCAGGTGGAGCTCTGTGAGTTCAAGGTCACCGTGATCTACATAGTGAGTTCCAGGCCAGCTGGGGCTACAGAGAGACCCTGTCTCAAAAGCAATGGTGGCACATGCCTTTAGTCCCAGCACTCAGGAGACAGAGGCAGGCAGATCTCTGTGAGTTCGAGGCCAGCCTGATTTCCATAGTGAATCCAGGCCAGCTGTGGCTACAAGGAGATCCGTCTCAAAAAGACCAAATATACATA